CAGTTGGAAAAACGCCCTCTTTAAGAGACAAATTAAATAAGGCTGTTAACGGCTCATAGAGATAATCAGCACAATTTCTAAGAAAACAAGTGGGGATCTGGTCAGGACCATAACTAAAAGACTGCTTTAAGGACTTCAGATAAACTAAAACATCATCGGGAGATATTATAGGGTTATGTATTGAGTTAATTGGACTTAGTTTAAAAGGATAGTCAAAGTATGCTTGGGAGTTAGTGGAATAATTGGATTTAAAAAACTGAGCGAACATGTTAGAAATTGTTTGATTATCACCAGAGACGGTATTTTGATACTTCATGGCGGAAGGAAAGCCACGTACATTTCGCTTGGAGTTTACGAAATCATAAAATGATTCGGGGCTATATATTATACGTCGTTTGATTTTACACAAGTAATCTTTATAACACTTTTTGTTTAATTCAAAGAACTTGTGACGCAAAAGTGAGTATTTTACATAGTATGAGTGTAAGCCGGTTTTTTTTGTGTAATCTAAAATAACGTGACTTTCTGTTTTTCAAGTTTCTCAGTTCTTTAGTAACTGTGTTTGTTCTTCAGGAACACGTTCAGGAATGCGTTTAGGCACATACTTTTCAAATAATCTATGTACAGTACAAATAAAATGTGCAACGCTTTGCTCAACTTTTTCTTTGTATATAGGCCACGACAATTTAGACAATTCTTTATTCAGTTTTTTAATGTTGGCTTTCGAAAAATCAAAGCGAATATTTGGTTCGTATGTTTGGACATCGCAATTTTGACCATCGTTTATAATTTCGTAAGATATCTCAATAGCAGGGTGGTAGACATCTTCGGGCAAAACTAGTGGGTCACATTTATTTACAGCCGACTTAGATGCATCATCATCATAAACAAGATCTAATACTTTGCCAAACTTATTGCGAAGTACATTAACTTGATTCAGGCAGAGTTCAGCCATCTCCTCTAAAAATACGTTGTTGCACGCGCTAGACGAGAAAGGTACAATATCATTGTCAATGATGTTCCGTGATACATTTGGTAAATTAAAGTCACCCAACACAATTAATGAATCAGAGGGTTTAATCACTGAATTAATTGATTTCAGTAAAGATAAATGTTGTGAATACACTGATAAGTCAGATCGGGGAGGAATATAGAAAATGTTTATCAACAACTTATGTAATAAACATTTCTGCATTTATTTTTGTAACCCAAATAATTTAATTGTATATTTTACCGTTTCTTAAGTCTGCACCAAAAAATTTTTTCATTCGGACACTTACTTTCAAAGAAAAATAAAAATTTCCAAAACACTGCAAAAATTTCCAATCGTTGATTAATAAAAACTATTTGGAATTTTTCAACAAAAATTACACAGTCTACTGTTCTACTACAAACCTCGGCGCTGCCTGAATATCATTGAAAAATATTAATGTTGGTAAATTCGGTGCCAACTTGAGGAAGCCTTACCCAAAAGCATTTGTAAGATGGCTTAAAACAAGTATGTTCGTTGCATTGGAGCGCAAATATGCTTAAAAAACTTTACAATATGTGTTATTTCGCATCCAAGTACATAATCAAAAAAAAAAAAAACAGAGACCCAGCGGGGGATCCAGACTTTTTTTTGGAGGTGTCTGTGGGCATTTGAAATTTTCCATGCAAATAACATGTAAAAAAGTTTGTTACGTTTTTTGGGAGAGGGTGTTTCCGAACTGGCTGCTGAGATAGGTCGATCTTCCACTCAGCAGTCGATATATGGTTTTGGATGTTACAAACAACCGTTATGTGAACAAAGTCATAATACCCTTGTGCACAAGTACGCATCATTGAGAAAAATTACAAATAAATTTTTGTTTGGAATTTTCTCCACGAAAATGGGGAAATTCGGAAAACGCATAGAACCATCGCATATCCCGTACAAAAATCTATGGAATCATAGTTTTCCTATTATTTTTCCCATTTTCTGTCTGCTTCCCAGCTAGTCGAAAAGTAGTTTAGCACCGCTTAGCGCGCTTGGGACTTTTCACGTTAATTACCCCAGATGCGTATGTAATTTGTTGTACAAATACCTTACCTTTACCGGAAAGGTTAAATAAAAATATCTAACAATTGTGGTTCTTAAATAAATATGTACATATAACGATCAAATAAGTGAACAGTTCGATTGAATGTTAATCCAATTTTGCTAGTTTATATCTGCGTATTCTTAGCTCACTGAATGATTAAAAAAAATAATCTATTACCAGCCACAATAATATTTATGTAAATGTATCTATGACACTTCCTCCAGGAATAAACCCAAATATATCAACACTGTTATCATCATGAATACTATGACAAATGTGAAGAATGTGCTCAAGCTCAGTGAAACAGATTTGAAAGGCGGCAAAAAATCATGGCACGAAATGTATAAAGATTCAGCTTGGATATTCGTTGGTGGTCTGCCTTACACCCTCACAGAGGGCGATGTCATCTGTGTGTTTTCACAATACGGCGAAATTGTTAATATCAACCTGATAAGAGATAAAAGTAGTGGCAAATCGAAAGGGTTCTGCTTTCTATGCTACGAAGATCAGCGTTCAACCATTTTGGCAGTGGACAATTTAAATGGCATTAAACTACTTGGACGTACCATACGGGTAGATCATGTGGCCGATTATAAACCGCCGAAAGAAAATGAGAAAATGGACGAAGAGACTTTAAGACTGTATATGGAGGGTTGTGCGCCGAAACCTATGGTGCAGAAAAAGGAACGCTCATGAAGGATAGAAAATAATTTTGAAAAATGTACAAATGATGTATAGTATTTCTACAAATCAAATAAAGGGAAAATACATACATATGTGTGTATGTATGTACATATGTAGTAAGTTAATGAAAATTTGTTGTGATTCTTTAGTATGTATCGTGAAACCCATTTTAGTGGACACTTAGTCTGGCTAGATAATCAACTAACGGGTTCCAAAGAAACGTGCTGTTTCGTCGAGGTCGGACCTGAGGGAGAGGGGCGTTAGTTGTATGAGGTTTTGAAAAGTGAAAAGGTTAATAGTGCCGTGCGGAAATTATGTATATCAGTGGGAAGTCAGGATAACAAAGGAATCGTTTTTTTCGTATATTTTAGCATATTCGGCGCTTAAGACACAATCGGCTGATTTTTAAGGCCATAAAATATAACTTAATTTCGGGAATCGTTCTTCAAATTTGTATTGGAGGCAAAGCGGTTGCGGTTTTGATCCAGTTTTTTTAAATTTTTCGTTCTCCGTTCGTTCCAAATTACATCATATTCTGAGCTTATCGGAAGAGTTATCCAATACAAACGACTAAAGAATTTTACGGTATTGCAGCAGTTTGAATTTCTACTTATCCAGACTAGATCATGTCGTTCGCAGCGTTTGTCCTCCATGTGAAGGTTCCGCTCACGATACCAACCACTTCTTCGCGTGCCCCCTTAAAGCGAACCCAAGTAACACTCCTTTCCAAAAAAAATTTAAACGTTCTGCTCGACTTACTACCGATAGATCTTTTAACCGAAAATCGGTTGCTAATAGCGCCATCAGACTGCGGCCTTGAGGTTATGGAAGGGAAGACCGTCCGGGCAAAGTTCTATCCAAACGCACTACCTCCTGAAATTAAACCGCTGCCCACTGACTATATCCTGTGAAAATCTTGGTTCACCACATACTCTGCACGCAATTCCCAAGCTGCAATGACTGGACTCAGGGAGGGGCCAGTTCGTCGAGGGCTTAACTGTCTTTACGAACGATTTTCATTGAAAAATGTAACCTTAAGTTATTATATCGCTTACCGCACCATGCAAGCGTTCTCCTCGTTGAAACTTTTGTAACGTACATGAAACAGAATGCATCAGCGAGAACGCAGGTGAATACCTATCCTCTTAGATAGTCATGCGTCTATTCAGGCACCCTTCTACCTCTGTTAGATCTCAACTTGGAGGATGACTTCAGGAGAGAGCTGCCCTCGATTTCTAATCAATACGAAATTACCCTAATATGTGTCCCGGGGTATAGAACATTTGCGGAAATGAGACAGCAAACGAACTAGCGAGGTCCGGCTCCGTACTCCACTCGGTTGACATGGTCGCTACGCACAGGGAGATCAAGGGCAGAATTGCTGAAGTTACCATTAGAAAGCCAGGCAGCGGTGAAACCATACATGATCGTATAGGATTACCCGGCAGTTCTGGGTATCCTAGGGCTAACTTAAAACCAGGGATCTTTTAAGAATGAGCAAAGAAAATACCTACAAACTCACTACAGTTTGCACAGGGCTAAGTAGCCGATTCAACAGAAACCACTAAAAATCCACACAGCAAAACTATTACATCTTAATTTCAATCGCGCGGTAAATGATTTTAAAAAGTTATTTCTTAACCACAGGTGATAAGAGTATCCAATTAGCGCAGCTTTATTAAATACATATTGGCATTTCTTTATGGTTGCGCATATCGGATATTTGTATTGTACGCCATGACTTAGGAATAAAAGAGACTGATGCTATGCATTGATGCGTTTAAGACGACAGCCTAAATATTTATAACTGATACACAGTGCTTTGATTGGGAAAAATTGAGTTTAAGGCATGCTTAGGTAAAACATATATATAAAACAGCACTTCGACTTTAGCAAAGGTAAGTAACGTTTTTACCTACCTTTCTTACCTGCTCAAGTGAGGACCACATCGCATCCGAAATCAAAACTATATAAAGAAAATTTTTTCTCCACAATCTCCAGAAATGGGGTGAAAGGTGGCGCGTGACGTGAGGCTGCCATACGGCTAAAGTCGTGTGCATCGCAAGAACGAAATCAAACAAATTCATTGCAGGTTTAATTGAGAGAAAGAGTAGGTAGTACTATATTGTTTTCTGGGGGTGGCCCAAGCCCATACACACAATGTGCACTTTCATAAGGGTAATTCTTTGGCAAATATGCGCGAAAAATATATTCATTATTTTAAATACATACATATTTTTATTTTATAAAAATGCTTACTTCCAATTATAAATTAGAAATTTTCAGACTTCCTCGAAGTAAAATTTTGTTTCATTATTTAAGTTTATCACATTTCTAGAAATAGATGATTCTAATGTGCCTTTACTGGGCATACGAATATTGTAGTATTATTTATACTTATAAAACATTACTTTATAAAGATATGTAGTGATAGCTCAGCGCTAGGCTAAAAACATACTGGAGAGGCGAGCAAAGCATTGAGCGAAGCGTCGATTACAAAACGTGTATGTTTCAACCGGAGCGCATATACATATCTACGCTTTGGCCTTAACTATGCGCGCTCCCATTAAAACATGCACGTTACGAAAAACAAAACGGGAAACTTATGTATATTTATCACTCTAGTAAAAATTTACAAATACATTAGTGGTATTCACCAAATTGAGCAAGTGGCCTGGCGCTCTGGCAAAAGAGCAGATGACTGTTGACACCAGTCTGCCAGGCCACTTGCTCACTGGTGAATACCGCTATTGTATCCATTAATAATCCGACAAAGTAGTAAAAGTAAGAAAGGGGAGATTTTTCCAATGCAGCCATTGTACCTATCTATGAATTTTACGATGTTTTTTTATTCCTGTAAGAAATAAGCAAAAATTCAGTCCAAAGAAATTTTAAAACGATTGTTACCCTTACGTACTTGCATTGCAATACTGTCCATAGAAGCCTGGATCACATTTGCAGGTCTTATTTGGCATACACACGCCATGCTTACAAGGACGCCTGCAGGTCGAACGCTGCCTACGACCGATTTCGCAATGATTACCGAGCAACCCGCTTGGACAGCGGCAAATATTGGTGCCAATGCAGCGACCGCCATTTTTGCATGGAATCACACATTTAGCTGTGGACAAATAACGCAGTAGAAGTATTTATAAAAATAAAAGAATAAAAAAATATAAGCTTACAATATTCACATCGTAGTCCATAGTATCCTTTGGAACACTGGCATTTATCCTTTTGTATGCACTTGCCGCCATTTAAGCATTTCTCGGTGCAGATGCCTGAAAATAGTTGATTTCAAAGTTGGAGTTATTAAATATAGTTTTCAACTACTAAACTACAAATACTTATTGCCATTTAATATGTGGTATCTACTTTCACTTGTTTAGAAACTTTGCAAATAGTATTCAAGCATGTCACGCTTCTCTACCTTCTCCCGCACCAACAGCTGGGGTCTTATCCAGTGCCGTTCGATTTTACAGCAGCAAAGTCGAAATGCCTCAACCGAGCACGGCAGCCCACAGACAGCAGATTCCAAGACGACCACATTACGAAAGCGGCCAACACCTCTGACAGATGAGATCATACGTGTTGATCATGCTGGCGAATTGGGCGCTGATCGCATCTATGCGGGGCAAATGTACGTTTTGGGCAATGGCCCAATGGGCAAGACAATCGCACACATGTGGGAGCAGGAGAAAGAGCATCGGAAGAGATTCGAGAATCTAATACAAGAACACCGTGTGCGGCCAACGATAATGTTACCAATTTGGAATGTGGCCGGCTTTGTGTTGGGTGCAGGTACATTTGTAAAACTTTGGGGTTGAACTTTTTTGAAGTTAGGTATTAATTTTTTATTTCAGGCACAGCACTGCTGGGAGAGAAAGCGGCTATGGCGTGCACTGTTGCTGTGGAAACAGTCATCGTGGATCATTACAATGAGCAACTGCGACAAATCATGGAATCTCCTAAACCAGATAAGGTGACTAAGTATGCTTTGATATATGTATACACTTGTGCTCATATAATTAAGTTACACCATACAGCAAAAAATATATATCTAAAAAAAGTGGTTTTATTATTGAAAATGAACAAAAAAACATATAGAATCAAAACTGCGGATTTCATGTTCAAAGTTTGTTTACATTTTTAATGTTTAAAAGTATTGAATTAATTTTAGTTAATTTTAATATTATATTTGACCATATGATTCGTGCTCATATAATTAAGTCACCGCCAAAGTAATGCATATTAAAGCCAAGTTATCGTTTTTTCAATAAATGCCAGTCAGTACTTCGTTGGGAATCCTTTTTGACGAATCACTTCATCGCATCTCCTATTCATGGAGCGGACTAAAGACTCACATTGCTGCGGAGTGATTTTACTCCACTCGTCCTTAATAATCTCCCATAAAGAAACCTTGTTTGTAGGTTTTCGCGCTGCAACTGCTCTCTTTATAATACCCCATAGGTTTTCTATGGGGTTTAAGTGTGGGCTTTGCGCCGGCCATTCAAGACATGTAATGTGATTTGCATTAATCCAGTCCTTAACGACCCGAGAGCAGTGCTTGGGGTCGTTATCTTGCTGATATATCCAAGCAAGTGGCAAGTCGTCAGCGTAATCCCCAACTAGATGTTCTTCTAGAATTTCCTTATATATAACACCCGTCATCTTGCCTTGGATTTGGACAATCGGACCGACACCTGACGACGTAAAACATCCCCAAACTATTACTGACGAGCCACCATGTTTTACTGTTTTTTTTGTGTACTTGGGGTTTAATTCTTGCAATGGCGGACGTCTTACATAAGGTCTTCCGTCATTGCCGAAAACATTAAATTTAGACTCATCGCTCCAAACAATTAGTTTCCAATAATCTAAGCCTTTGTTCAAATGTTGTTTGGCAAAGGACAATCTTCTTAAAATATTATTTTTTGAAACATTGGGCTTACGTCTGGCGATCCGGCCATTTTTCTGCAGTCGTCGACGTACGGTTTGTGCCGATATTTGTATACCATAATTGCATTCTAATTGGGCCCTAATTTCCCTGGAGGTTAAAAAAGGGTCTGCCTTACTCAATCTGACTAATTTTCTATCGTCAAAAGCAGTTGTCTTCCTAGGCTTATTGCGCGGTAGATTATAGAAAATTCCATTTTTTTGGTAGTGCTGAATAGCATTGACAACCTTTCCTCTGGAAAAGCCCAATACCTGTGTTACTTTCGCTACTGTCTTACATTTTTGGAAGCACTCCCATATGATCTTCCTTTCGGAAGGATTAGAGCTCCTGTTCTTACCCATTTTAGAAATTTTTAAATCGATTGCTAAGGATATAACACGAAATACGAAAATAAATCAGTGGAGGTTTGATATTTTAGCAAATTTATGGCAATTAAGTAAGAAGACTTAATTATGTGAGCACTTACGTTTTAACTTTCGGTGAAACAAATGCACTTTTACCATAAATAGAGATGAAAAATAGAACTTATTCCTCTCTTATTTTTTGACACACTACGCAGTTACTTTATGAAAAAAATATAAACCGTTATGTCAAGAGTTGCTATGTTATTTCGATTATTGCAATTTTACTACTGGATAACTTAATTATATGAGCACAAGTGTACATTAGACTGTGTCAAATAAAACGAATGTTTTTTCTTTCGGTCCCATATCGAAATTTTGTTATCGGTTATGCATAGTATTACGTATTCTGTTCACGCTGTGAAAAAGCTTGCAACTTGTTGGCAACATGAAGCTAGCAATAAAATTTCCACGACAATTTAAAATACACATGTACATCAGGGTGCCCATCGAAAAAGTTTTTTTTTGGAAATTTGAAGACCCTACCCCCTAATTTTATTCGTTTTTATGAGAAATATTATTGCCTGTTTTTATAGATTTTTTAAAGGTGATTTAGAGGTCCCGACCTGTCGATTTATGTCAGATAATAGGATTTTGTAGATTTATGAGCTTTTGAATGACTAGTTTTGATTAGATTTCAAAGATCGAATATTATCTGAGAAGAGGATATATAGGCCTTCAAAATGGTGTATAATAATCTATTGTCGGACTAGGCTTGTGGGGATTTTTTATCGGGTAAATTAAAAAAAGACCCATATTTCTCTTAATTTTTTAACTTTTGACCATCGACAATTTCTATAATTTCAAAATATGGAGTACTATCTAAAATTAAATCTATTTTCCAATAAATTGATATCTCATTTATTGCAATCGCATACAAATTGTCGAATTTAGGCGACTTTTCTTAAATGCGGCCTTGAATTTATATGTGTGTATGTACCGGAATTTCAGATTTTTTGAGCAGTGTGGTTAAGGAGTTCATCAAAATTTATTCAAAATTGATAGATATAATTGCTCTTTAGCAAAAGTGGGTTTTCAAGAAATTTTAGGAAAAGGGGGAGTGGCACCGTCCTTTTATATGATATATGCGTATCTCAAAAACTACTTGCCCGACCTCGACCAAATTTGGTATACACATTGTGAAATTTCCAAAAAAAAAGCATTTTCGATGGGCACCCTAGTGTATATTTTAAATTGTGCGAAAACTGACAGTTTATAGAATTCAGTAGCGGCGAACACAAAGGGGGAGGGGCTCTAGGGGTTAAACCTTACCCTAACTTATAGTGAAAACTTATTTCACGGTTCAAAAAATTGCGGATGATGACTTATTATCATAAGACTTTTTCGAAAACTTCAAGTGAATGGCTCGTTTTTATTAGCTTAGCTGTCCGTGTGCGACGCTGTTCGTAATTTCAGCTTATGCCCGTTGGTCTCTTAGGCAAAAATTTAATCCCTTTTTTCAATGGCTACGAGATCAGTTTCATATAACCATCTTTTTTCATAAGTATGGGATTGGCATGTTTTAGTAATCGGAATGAATCCCGGTATAGGTTTTGGGGCGCCTCAAGTAAAATTAACTAATGTTTGTACACATCGCTATGTACAACAAATTTGATTGCAAACAATGAAAAACAATGAAATCAAACATCGTATTTGACCAAAAAACTATATTTTACTTCATTCTCTCAACTTCACATAATGTAGAAAAGCTAAGAAAGATAATTAAATAAGATACATATATCACGACGCCCATGAATAACACAAATCCGTTTGATTGAAATTTTATTTATTTTTTGCTTCAATTTTTGGTGTGTCAATGTGAAAACAATATGTGTTGCTGGCAAAATTTCACGGCTGTGAACAGAATACTAACCTTTACAACAAAATAATGTTGGCAAAATTTCAGCCCTCTATCTTAATTTTTAACCGACATCACAAAAAGGAGAAAGGTTATCAATTCGTCGGAATATTTTATTTTATTTTATTTTATTTTATTTTAATATATTTTATTTTATTTTATTTTATTTTATTTTGTTCAATTTAATTTAATTTAATTTTATTTTATTTTATTTTATTTTATTTTAATTTATTTAATTTTATTTTATTTTATTTTCTTTATTTTATTAATTCTATTTTATTTTATTTTATTTTATTTTATTTCATTTCATTTCATTTCATTTCATTTCATTTCATTTCATTTCATTTCATTTTATTTTATTTTATTTTATTTTATTTTATTTTATTTTGTTTTATTTTATGTTATTTTATTTTATTTTATTTTATTTTATTTTATTTTTATTTTTATTTTTTATGTATGTTACCGCATAACTTTGGACCACGTTAACCGATTTCTATAATTCTTTACCTCACAGGTGGTCCCATATTAATTTGGTTTAAATCCGATCATCGGATCATGAAAAAATTAACGATAATCTTAAATTTTTACATGAGAATTGAAGTCGGTTTTGTTTTTTGTTTAAGAAATACTTGTTCAGTTAGCGCTCGCAAAAATAAGAATTTTCAATGAAAAAAATTTTGCTCCACAACTCTTTTTATAAACAATTAAATAAAAGAAAAATCTTAATGTGGTTTTTAGGGAATTAAATTCTTGACAAAATAGCCTTACATCAAATACAACTCCGTGTTTTTACAACGCTTTTATCAACTTGCAATGTTGTATGTCCAGACCACCATTTTTATACTATAAATATAGCAAAGGTATTTATGGCAAACCTAGTCTAGATATCAACCTCGTCGTAGGTATCATATCAAAGACATACAATTAGAAAAACTCTAGAGATAGATGTCGCCTCGCCAGAAGAAGTTAAAAATATGCACTACATACGCTACAGCGGATATAGACGACACGCCATTTCTTTAAATGAAATTAATTGCTGCTATATGTATGTATGTACATATGTAGGCAAATACTAAATGTGAGCAAACAACATTTTGCTTGAATAGTCTTCTGTTCTCTTTTCACTGCAAGTTGAATTATTTTAGTATCTATTGCAAAATTTTATACAGACAAGACTTAAAAATATGAAATAAATTAAAAAAAAACTTTTTAATGTACCACGCTTTTATAAATGGACTAAAATTAGAAAATAATATTTGTCAGTCCCATAGAACTTGTTTTGATAACTTTTGATTTTGAAATTTTAGCAAAAGTCATTATAAACAATTTATGAGATTGAAAATTCAAAGCATGATAAAAACATAACAAGGTAAAACCATTGAGAGGCAGTCTGACGTTTGCCAACAATATAATTTTAAAATCAAAACTCAAACTCACACACACATTCTCATTTTCAATCTCAAACAACAACAATTGTGAACAATTTAATTTTTTTATTTTCAATTTTATATGATTTTAAAATGTTGGCAAACGTCAGAAAAAAATCATGGCCGACGAAATGAGAGAATGAATTTACCTTGTAATGTTTTTATCATGATTCAAAGCGTGGGGCGCATGTAATAGGCCTGATTTGAAATTGAAGAGTAATATATTATGTATGTGGGTATATTAATAACGACCGCTTAAAATCGATCTCAAATTTGTACTTTCGCTGTAAAAATTTTAGGTCTATGTTATGTATGTAGTTTGAATATTGTCAATTAAATCTAATGCTTTGTATTGCATGCGCTACACGTTTTTCGTTTTCAATCTCATAAATTGTTTATTATGACTTTTGTTAAAATTTCAAAATCAAAAGTTATCAAAACAAATTCTATGGGACTGAGATATATTATTACAACGCTTTTATCAACTTGCAATGTTGTATGTCCAGACCGCTTTGAATGTTGTATGTCCAGACCACCATTTATACTAGCTGCTTTTTTTTGTAAGCGAGCGACAAAAGAACGCTCAACTCGGGTAAAATTTCCTTTTAGCTACTTAAGCAACCCTGTTGGTAGCTGGCAAGAAAATATGATTAGTTTAACGGGATTTAGATACAAAAACCAATTTAAATGAGTAATTATGCGAGGTATTTGCGTAATATATATACTCTTTTAAAATATAAGTCACGTATAAAAGGAAGCAAAAATTTCCCCTCCACTTTCCCATTCAGGTCGCGTATTTTTGAACCGACCTGGCTGAGCTCGGATAAATAGCCGAGTTTGTGTTGTTGCTTTGCGTGTATTTCGTCATTTAAGCGAGTGTTCTTTTGTAGCTCGGCTGCAAAAGAATGTACCTACTATAAATGTAGCAAAGCTATTTATGGAAAATTCTAGATATCAACCTAGTCTAGATATCAACCTCGTTGTAGGCATCATATCAAGGAGATACAATTAGAAGACTCTAGATGTTGCCCCGCCAGAAGAAGTTAAATATTCCGCCTAAATATATGCACTATTTATATACGTCACAGCGGAAATGGACGACACGCCATTTCTTTAAATGAAATAAACTGCTGCTATATGTATGTATGTACATATGTATGTTTATACTAAATGTGAGCAACCAACATTGTGCTTGCATAGTCTTCTGTTCTCTTTTACTGCAAGTTGAATTATTTTAATATAAATATAATTGCAAAATTTTGTACAGACAAGACTAAAAAGTAGAAAATAAATAAAATAAAAAAAAACTTTTTAATATACAACGCTTTTATTAATGGACTAAAAAGTAGAAAATAATATTTCTCAGTCCCACAGAATTTGTTTTGATAACTTTTGATTTTGAAATTTTAGCAAAAGTCATTATAAACAATTAATGCCATTGAAAATGAAAAGCGTGGGCGCATTTAATACACTTGAATTGATATGAAAAGTAACATATGTATGTATGTGGGCAAATGAATAACGACGGCTTAAAATCGATCTCAAATTTGTACTTTCGCTGTAGAATGTTATGTAGTTTGACTATTGTCAATGAAATCGAATGCTTTGTACTGCATGCGCTCCACGTTTTTCGTTTTCAATGGCATTAATTGTTTATAATGACTTTTGCTAAAATTTCAAAATCAAAAGTTATCAAAACAAATTCTGTGGGACTGAGAAATATTATTTTCTACTTTTTAGTCCATTAATAGAAGCGTTGTATATTAAACAGTTTTATTTTATTTTATTTTATTTATTAACCGACTTCCAAAAAAGGAGGAGGTTATCAGTTCGTCGGAATCTTTTTTTTTTTTTTTTTTTTTATGTATGTTACCGCATAACTTTGGACCACGTCAACCGATTTCGATAATTCTTCTTTTGCATCGGAAAGGTAGTGTCTCAGAGGTGGTCCCATACTAATCTGGTTGAGATCCGATCAGTGGATCATGAGATATATATATATATATTTTTTTTTTTATATGGGAGTTGAAGTCGGTTTTTTTTTTACTAAAAATTACTTGTTTTCTTTGCTATGTTGCTTTGACAGAGCTTGAACCCAGTGAATTTTTTCTAAAAATTATATTTCGATCTACTTTTAAAACCTTATTAAAAAACTTTTTGAGAAGAAAATCTTATATACATAGTTAATTACGTTATGAAATTTAATGATTTAATGAAAATATTTTTCATACTTTCATTGATCCCTATATCGCATTTTAAAAGATATTATGATTTGAGATGATTTTACCTAAAAGAACAATCAAGATAAAAAAATAAATTTTTTATTATTTTTCATTAACAAGTTTTGTTGGCTTAAAAGTTCCTAAAATCTCATCAATATACTATTGACTCATGTCACTAGCATAGGTACATATATTAATGTTAACTTCCGTGCTGGCAGTCTTTCATTATAAAATTTGAGGATGTATTGTGTTCCACAGTCGGCTAGGCATTTAATTGACGAAACCCAGTTTTTCTGAAAGTTTGGATTGCATATAGAAAAGTAATTCATCAATTTTCCCAGGTTGGCGATTTTAAGCTTTTTTTTAATTGAAGTTGGTGATCGGAGAGCAGCATTTAAATCAATTAAAAGTGATTAAAATGCAAATATTTATGCTATCAAAAGACCTTTCTGGGGATTTTCGGGCACGAGAAATCTGAATCTGCAGTTTATTTTTTACTAAAAAGCGTTAATTCTACCAAAAACGCGGTTGCTGGGTACACTTTGGTGCAAATAAACATGAAGAAACACTGTTTCAAAACATTGCTGAGAAACATTGTTTCCACTTTTCTTTCAAGTTTTTTACATTAAAACGCATCCTAGTGGCCCATTTTGCTAAAAAATCTTGCAAGCGCTAACTGAAAAATGAAGATAGAGGGCTGAAATTTTGATATGCAACCGAAAGAAAAAAAAACAATCGTTTTATTTGACACATTATATACTACATGTACATACGCACATCCATACATGGAATAATGCGGTGTATTCTTGTTTTTGTACGAATCGAAAATTTGAAATTTTTGTTTCACTTTTGCCACTTACTATTTGCAGGAACTCTTAGATGTCATAACCAAATTCCGCGATGAGGAGCAAGAACACCACGACACAGGCATTGATTGTGGCGCCGAGCAAGCACCGTTTTACAAAGCAATGACTGAGGTGATCAAAATTGGTTGCAAAACGGCTATTGCCATTTCAAAGCGTATATAAATAAGTGCACCCTTTCAGTGATTGTAATATTTATACCTATCTACATGTATAGAAGTTTTTTGCAAAAAAAATATACAGGCCGATTCTGAACAGAAACTCCCTTTTCCCTTTCCTCCTATCATGAATAAAAATTCCTTGCGGACTTTTTATATTAAATGGCGGAGTGCAGATCTCAAAAAAGTGTCAAACAGCTTCTTCGAAGTTCGAATTTCCCCCTCCCAAGCTTTTGGGGAAAATTCTACTCCCTGGTTATTTAATTATTGGAGGATTCTTTTTCGGGAGAAACAAATTCCCCGGAGAACAAACTCCCCGGGAGTATTAAGAATTGGGTTGATAATGAAATATAATAATGCAAATAATAATTTTAACTTACCTCCTTCGCACTGAGTGCCTTGGTAGCCATCAGGACAGGTGCACACCGATGGCGCTGTGCAATTGCCGCCATTTAGACATTGCGGAAAACAAAATGCCGCCTGACAGTATTGACCCGTGTAGCCAGCTTTGCACTGGCAAATTTTATGATGATTACAAAATCCATTATCGCCACATTTCAAATTACATTCGGGATCGGGACCTTGAAATCATAAATTTAACAATAGCAATACAAAATAATGTCAAAGCAAATGCTTATTAAGTACTAAAGCATTGGCAAACAATACATAACTCTGACAAAAATTTAATAAACAAATGCAGTTAAGCTCAGCAGTAGGGCGTTCAAGCGGTCTATAAATTCAAAATCAGTGCAGGAGCAGTGTAATATGAATAAATTTGTCCATTAACTGTAAAATGTAATAAAAAGCCATGCACTGTGAGGAATCTGTATTTTGATTTTTATAAATTACACTGGATCACAAATTTTAGTTTGGGCTTTGTTCTCCAGACGCCACTATCCAATTCCTATGTAGAATTGCTCGGTGATTCCGAAAATCGTGTTAATTTTTTTTCTATGGATGCGTTTTCGTTATATTTGCAATTTACCGTTATTCAGCTTAAAAAAGAATGGTTCCACTTAATCACGTATATCTTACGAAACAATTGCACAATCATAGTACGAAATACGGCAAATGAAATCCAATAAAATTCTCCATAAACCGTATATATGTACATCACTTTCGATTAAAAAAATTCAAACTTTAACAGGGGAAAAATAAAAATAACGTCTGTTTTTTTATTTGTTTGTTAATTAATTTCTCAGAAACTATCAGGCCTATCGAATTTCATTGGCGTTCATTTGCCGTATTTCGTATTACGATATACGGAATCACCGAGCAATTCTGCATAGGAATTGGACAGTGGCAGCCATTGAACATTTTGGCTGTAAACCAGTGTTATTATAGTAGGAGCAAATGAAATAAAAGCGATAGACAATCAAGTGTTTTTATGTGTGACCACAGTGGGTGTAGAATGGATCATTTTGGTTGTTCAC